AATAAAATAATATTACATGCAAATTCAAAACTTTTCTTTAATTTTTAACCACACATTCTTCTTTAATCTACTATTCAAAATGCATTATTTCCTCCAAAATGTGGATCAAACGAGGGCTGTATTTAATTGACATGAAGAACCTTCATGCCTACTTGGCCAAGAGTAATCATGCTACATTATTAAAAAAGTTTGACATCTTTCTTGACAGAATGTCACATGGTATTTTATCATTGATTTGTTTTAAAAACAATCATCTCTTACATTCTATCATTTTTTGCCACCAATACATGTGTCAACTAGGATGTCAACATTTTATGACAAAATAGCTTAATCCAAGAGTGTCAGAAATATTTTCATGTTCGCACATATAAAAGGTACATCGAATATAACTCAAAAGCTTTTACAAAAGCTAGTAAATTAGACAAGCAACAATTGATTTAAACCCATAGTAAGCAATGCAGATTTCCATGCATTATTTATAACATGCAAAATTTTCCATGAAATGATTGAAGTTTGATTTCTTTCGGAAATTGAATTGTGCGTGTACAATCATAGTTTTCTTGAGACTATTGAGAGGAGAAGGAGATTGGTGGTGGTGGAAGACGGGTTAAAATAAGGGTACGTGGAGTTGGTTGGAGAAGAAAGAGAGTTTTTATTTTTAAAATTTTAGTATTTTATTGTTTTAATAGGAATTCTTCTGCACACTTAAATTTTTGCTTTATATTTTTTTTTATTTATTTAAAAATGATGGTAAATTCGTCAATATACAAAGATTTAATGGTAGAAAATGAACAGTATGGTAAATTCGTCAATATACTATTATTACTACATTTTACAGAGTAAAAACGGAAAACAATAAACAAATATATATAAATTGATTTTGCTGGCAGCTCCTATTACTCCACCAAACAAGCCCTTAATGTTCCAAATTCCAAAATTCTAGTCTTTTACCAAAGAAAAACCCCCAATTCCACGTAACCATATTCCACCAAAATCAAATTCCCCTAATCCAGAAAATCACAAATCCCCCATGTCCACTTCTATACGTTCATCATCAGTTTCATCACACAGCTAAGCAACTTACTTATCCGCACCATCAAGTTCTTCAAATTTTCACATTTTCCTCCTTCACATGGCTATGTAGTGATTCAATTATATTCCACCACTCCATGTTGACGTGTTGCAGAATCATAACAGGAAATTATTGGTTTCATAGACATATTCAACAGGGCAGTCAATTTATTACTTCACAAAAGATGTTGAAGAATTACGAATATATTCACAAATTAGAATGCTTGGAATCCAAAGGTGTGAAATAAAAATTTGGTTCAAGTTTAAGATCATATGACAATTCATGAAGACATATAATTGGAGTACACGAAAGATGAAAGACATGTCTTCTATCAAAGCTGAAGTCATTAAGCGCACACACAATACATTAGTAGTTTAGAGTAAGCCTCATCCTTATCACCTAGTGATGGCAACGGGGCGGGTTCGAGATAGGGTGCCCCCACCCCGCCCCGCCCCACCTTAAATAGGGCGAGGCGGGGACGGGTCAACTTTTTGCCCATTTGTTGCCCCTTTTATTTTATTTTATTTTTTTTTTTTTACATTTCGAAAGTTTCGAATTATGTTATTATTAGAGAATAAAATACAAATTCAAAATAGATTTTTAACGGGTAAATTGTCTAGAAATAAATTTATTTTTAATTTTTTTCTTCTTGCCAACCCGTTCGGGCAAGGTAAATTGCCATCCCTAACATCACCCATAACCTACTCCAGGCATACCCCCGTGTCGTACCTCAACGTCAAACCATGTAGAAAAGAAGTGAGTTGTCATTTGTTATCCTCAATGGTGTCATGTTACCACTCACGTCGTAATCAATTTTCAAGCAAGGAGACCTTTTATCAACTTTCATCTCGATGGATCTCATTTCAACAAGATCCACATAATTCCATCTAGGTAATAGAGGTCCAAATGTCATTCCATTGCATGTTATGAATTCATTGACGGAGTCTTGATTCATTAAAAAGGAAAAAATAAAAATAAAATAAAAGATCTCTCAAATGAATCAAGAAGCGAAATTAGATTAAGAAATCAATCGTGAGAATATTCTAATATGTATTATGAAATGTAAAAATTGATATAGTATGATCTATTTGGTTGAAGCTAGAAACCATCATATTAGCAACCAAATAGATGTTAATCTCTTTTGATATATTAGATAACACAATTTTGGTTTATAAAGCCAAAAGGGTGTGTACACATCAATGGTGAGTTGATTATAGTGTCATGTGAAAAAAAAAAAAAAAAAAACCCACAAAATGAGTATGTAACCTCGATTTGTAGTTCACGAAATACAAATTTCTTCTATAGAGATGTGTATAATGTTCGTGTTGCCTCGAACTAGTAAAATGAAAAATGTACTAGCATTTTGGCAATTTCATTTGTACTACTTAGAATTAAGATGATTTCCGAATCAGCAGCCTCATGTTTTCAGCGACACAAAGGTAAGAATTGTTGACTTTGACTTGAATTAAAATTTTAATTTAAATCGATACCAAATAAATGCTAGTTTATTTGAATTTTAGTACTTGAAACTTGGACAACGATTGTAAATAAATTTAAACACGGATTAAACTTAAAAATAATATTAAAAGAAGAAGAAGAAGATTGGACTAAACTTAGAAATAAAAAATAATAAAAAGGTCCAAATGGATCTGGGCTGAGACTCCAAAAGCCCAATAATGAAAAAAAAATATTTTTAATTTGGAAATCTCTCTCCATACAAGCTCTATATAATTCAACCAGCAAAAGTACCATCCACACTCAAAACCTCTGTATCACTCGAGCAGCAAAAATACGAGCAACGCTCAAAAATGTCTTCGGCAAATGCCTCTGATTCCTTTTCCACTGCCATGACCCCTGTATTGAGTTACGACGTTTTCTTGAGTTTCAGAGGTGAAGACACCCGTAAAGGTTTCGTCGACCACCTCTCTACAACCTTACACGAAAAAGGTATCCACACTTTCAAAGACGACACCGAACTCAAGAGAGGGAGTTCCATTTCCCCAATACTCGAAAAAGCCATTGAAAGTTCTGAAGTCGCACTCGTTGTCTTCTCGAAAAACTATGCCGACTCGTCTTGGTGTTTAGATGAGATTGTTAAGATCGTTGAATGTAACAAGAAATTTGGCCAAAAGATTTATCCTGTATTCTACAATGTGGATCCTTCTGATGTTAGGAAGCAAAAAGGGAGTTACAAAATAGCTTTTGACAAATATGAAAACGATCCTAACGTGGAGAAGGAGAAAATTAAGAGCTGGAGGAATGCTTTGAAGGAAGCTGCTAGTGTTTCTGGATGGGATACCAATCATACTGCTGATGGGTAAATTTCCTACACTTTACTCTCCTTTATTATGTTTGCTGATTTGCTTTTAAGTGTGATAATTCGTACGCAAAGTGTGGTAATATATAAAACAAGCCCCAATCTAATATATTCTATAAAATGTGTAAATAAAAATAGTGTTTGATTAGCTTATAATACTTTAATTATGCACATAAGTATTCTGCTACCATCAGTTTTAGTCTCGCTTCACCTTGTAAATTAAGCATTTTAGACATTCTCGACCCCTTACAACTCGGTTTCAAAGTCAATTCTACCATAACATAGTAAACCTTGATACTTTAGACTTATCTCACATGTTGAATCAAGTCGATCATAATTCTTACCATTTCTATTTTAGAAATATTAATATTCTATTGCTAAAATATCAAGGGATTAGTAATTTATGAGATATAAGAAATATCACAATTTTAACACAATAATTATGAATACAATTCAAAGTCCTGAAAAAAGGTGATGAGAAGGATATCCTAAACAAAGGTTAAATTTTCTATACCCGATATGAGACTTGGGATCTTCGTGCACAATGTAGCAATGATATCTATACCATGCTTCACATATCTTAAGATTTTCCTAATTACTGATTAATTATCATAAAAACTGTTTATTGATACTTGATAATCTCATACATAGCTTTTATGTTACTATCATTCTTGAGAGCAGAGTCCAGTCACTAATGCAACATGGAAAGAACATAAATTTTTCATTTTTTTTGAAAAATATAAAATAAATAAATAAACAAATAAAGGCCTGATATGGAATATGCCTCGACTCGTACTGGCTATATCCATGCTGCATCATTTTGTATGTTTGTACTTGTGGGAACAGTGGTTTCTTATCCTCGCTCGCTTTAGTATCTTCCTAAGAAAACTGTGGAAAGGAAATATCGTCACAATACCGTATATAAACAGAAGTTCGTGCTAAAATGTTGGTATTTGTTTATTTATGTGATGTGTAATTGATGGGATTTTTGAGCTTATCTTGTTGCTAGTTTATAAACTCGATTAGGGTTCGTGTTGGATTTCAGATTTTAGGGTTTTAGATATGTTGGTAACATACAATAGTTAACATGTTCATATGTTTCTACTTACTGGTGAATATATGCAAATGGAAAAAGATATTGAACATACACTTGTTTTTCATTATTTTGTGATAATATGCATGCATATTCAGTATATTTAAAATTGTGAACGATTTAAACTAGTTTTCATTAGTATGATTTTCCTTCATCTCTAACTCAAAGTCTGCCACTGTAAACTAATGTTTTTCTTCTTTCTGATCTTCAGACACGAGTCGAAAGGCATCAGAGAAATTGCTCGAGAAATTTTAAAGAATTTGAGCCATACAATCTCTCGATTTAAAGAAAACCTGATTGGAGTAGAGTCGCATGTTCAGAAAGTGACATCACTGTTGAATCTTGAGCGAACTCAAGATGTTCGCATGATAGGTATATGGGGTATGGGTGGCATCGGGAAAACAACTATCGTCAGGACTGTGTTTGATCAAATATTTAACGAATTTGAAGGCAGTTGCTATCTTGACAATGTAAGAGAAGTTTCCAAAACTTTAGGACTGAATTCGTTAGAAGAAAAATTACTCTCTGACACTTTGATGGAAAAAAGCGCAAATCTCCACAATAATACGTCTATGCTATTCGCAAGGTTACGTCACAAAAGGGTGCTTGTTGTTCTTGACGATGTCAATGAACTCGAGCATTTAGACAGACTGGCTGGAGGGCATGATTGGTTTGGAGCCGGAAGCAGAATCATCATAACAACAAGAGACAGACAGATACTTTCGCCACGTCAAATTGATGATGTATATGAGGTCAGTTTCTTAGGGACTGATGTAGCACTGAAGCTGTTTAGCAAATTTGCCTTTAAGGAAGGTTTCCCTAAAGATAAATTTGAAATGCTTGCACATAAGGCAATTAGATATGCTCGCGGTCTTCCTTTAGCTCTTAAGGTGTTGGGCAATTTTTTACATGGTCGAGATATTGATGAATGGGAAAATGCATTGGATAGATTGGAAGAAATTCCGGAAGATAAAATCTTGGAGAAACTTAAATTGAGTTTTGATGCACTGAATGACATGGAGAAGAAGATATTCCTTGATGTTGCTTGCTTTTTTAAGGGGAAGAAGAAAGAATATGTGATAAGAAAACTTGACGGCTTCGGTCAGCAAGCCAAGGAAGCAGTAAGAGATTTGATTCAAAAATCTCTTATAACTATAACCACTGATGACAGGCTTCAGATGCATAACTTATTACAAGAGATGGGTTGGTACATTGTGCGACATCCGCATCCTAACAATCCTGAGAAACACAGCAGGTTATGGTTGCCTGAGGAAATAAGCTATTTACTAACCGAAAATGTGGTAAGAACTAAACTCATTTTGATTTGATACTGAAGAAGCTTTTACTAAGTTTATCTAAGGTTTTGTGCGAGTGACGTAATTTTGAAACTCACCTACCTACCATAATATTTGTTGACAATAAACAGGGAACAAAAGATATTGAGTGCATACATGTGGACTACTCAGAACCAGAGAGCGTGAAAATAAGCTCGAAAGCCTTTACAAATATGGAAAACCTGAGGCTTCTCAAAATCCATAATGCAAGCATTGAGCAAATTCCAGCTTCTATTCCAAGAAACTTGCAATGGCTTGATTTGCATAAGTACCAAGCAAGGATTTTGCCTGCAAATTTTCAAGGAGAAAAGCTCGTTGGACTGAAACTGTCCCATAGCCATATTGAACACATTCGAGGACTTGAAAAGGCAAAATTGGTATGTCATGAATTTTCTTTTCTAATCATAATTTAATTTCCACATTATGAAAGCTTCACTTGGATATGAAGAATTGACATAATCTTCCCTTTCCCTTGTCCCGCCTTTCTGTTTCTCAATTGGACAGAACAATTTGAAGTTCATCAACCTCAGTTACTCTAAAAAATTGTTGAAAACTCCAGATTTCAGCAACATTCCAAATCTTGAAAAATTGGATCTCAGCAATTGTAAGAGCTTGGAAGAGGTTCACGCGTCCCTTGGGAATCTTAAGAAGCTTGTATACTTAAATTTGGCGCACTGCGTTAAACTAAAGACTCTACCAAGTAGTATCCATTTTAAACTTCTGAAAACATTTGTTCTCTGGGACTGTGTGAAATTAGAAAATTTTCCAGCAGTGGCTGGGGAAATGGAATGCTTGTCGGAGCTTCATTTGGAAGGGACTGCAATAAAAGAGCTACCCCCATCAATCAGCAACATTTCTGGCCTTGTTTTGATAAATCTCAGCAAGTGCAAAAACCTAAAAATTCTTCCAAACAGCATTTGTGATTTCAAATGTTTGCAAACTCTCATTCTCTCTGACTGCTCACAGCTTGAAAAATTGCCAGAAAACCTTGGACAAGTCATATCATTGGAAGAACTTCTGGTAGATGGAACTGCTATTACACAACCACCGCCATCCATTACATGTTTGACGAAGCTGAATGCCTTATCATTCAGTAGATGCAAGCGGCCAAAATCTCTGAGTTCTCTGTTTTCAGGTAATTTGGAGTCATCAGTCTCTTCTCTATCTGTTAAGTTACCTTTGCCAAAAATAGGATTCTCCAATAGCAAACAGACAAAAGGATCTTTGCCTCCACCCCGACCATCTTTATCAGGTTTATGTTCCTTAAAAAAATTGGATCTCAGTTCCAGCGATCTACTTGAGGAAATATCAGCTGATCTTGGCAGCTTGTCATCTTTGGAAGAGTTAGATCTGAGCAGAAATAACTTCGTAAAGTTTCCAGCAAAAATTTCTGAACTTCCACGACTCAAAATCTTGAAACTGGAAAGTTGCAATAGTCTTGTATCACTGCCGGATCTTCCAAAATGTATAGCTGTACTGGATGCAGATGATTGCCAATCATTAAAAAGCTTGGCTAACCTCTCTGAAAAGCATGCCTTCTTATGGAAGGTCTCATTTCACAATTGCTTCAAACTGTTCAAAAATGAGGAGAACCGTAATGCTTCTGATAAGTTGCTACACTCTTTACTTCAGGTTGGTATCCAAATTTTCTCTTTTCCAGTACATGTCTAGGAGCAATTCCTCTTACTACATAGATTTAATAATTACCAATGCCTATTCTATGGTTCACTCTAGTCTTAATTGGTGAAACTCATATAGGAATTTATTCTCTATATTGGGATTTCGTGACATTCTTGGAAGACGTCAAGGGGTAGATTAGAGTAAATACGGGATTTAATTTGGTTGACGATAAATCCATATATTAGTGAATTTTCCAATCCACTGCACGAATTATTCAAGCACGTTTATATCAATATTGTATTAAGACTTGTATAAATGTAATTGTAAAATCTCAGAAAGTGTTAATTTCACTTGATTTCTTGTTACAGGGACAAGCTGCTGTGGATAGTCGATTTAGTATACTCATTCCTGGAAGGGAGGTTCCAGAGTGGTTCAGTTACCAAAAGATGGGTCGTTCAGTAACCATCCCCTTAACTACAAATTGGCATGAGAATGTCACTGGGATTGCAGTTTCTATCGTCTTTGAGTGTCTGGTACCAAAATCAAAAATAGGGGTCACGTTCAAATTGATAAGCCGGGATCATGAGGAGTTCATCGCTAATATCACTCAAACTGCCACTAAGCTGGAAGAGAACTATGAATCTGCTCATGTGTGGATAGGCTATGTATCATTCCATCTTTTCCAGCTTCTATTTCCAAAATTTCAGTCAGATGATTGGGCTAAAATAGATGGATGTCTCACAATTAAGACAAAGGAAGAGGCATGGATCAAGCCAAGAGGATGTGGTATTCGCTTAGTTTACAAAGAAGATGTGAAAGAGACGTCGCAATATATGGAGACTCATCCTGGGGTTGACCAAGAATTGAAAATATTAGAAGAGGCAGAAGAGAGTATCGATGTACTGACTTTTGGTGTCAATCAATTGAACTGGAGTGTAGATCCTATCGAGGAAGAGGGCAATCAAATTCAAAGCTTGAGATCCTCCACTACCTTCAAGGTACAGAAGACACTATCGTTTGATTACTAGTTACCATAAGGAGGGTCTTACAATGCATGGCCAAGTCGTTTGATTCTGTTGGTAGTTGTCTATGTTTGTTTTTCCATTTTTTTATCCTACAAAAAAAGAATAGACATTGTGGCTTCCTATGTTTTCTCAAGTCAATTCGATGCATGGAAAAATATTCATAATTTTTCTTTTGTTCTGATTAATGTTGTATTGGGTGTTATGTTGCTTAGTATTACAAGACCAAAATCCTCGTCAAATATTTGGTTTGTCTTTCTGTGTATTGTGTGTGTCCCCTTGTATAGTAAATTTTATTATGGTGAGATTGCGTATGTTATTGAAATCATTGTGGCTTATATTGTACGTCTTGTGCTTAAGCTATTTGGCATACTTTACTATTGCGGTGAACATATATTGATACCATTGGTTTAGGCCATTTATGACTTTCATTTATCGAATTCTTAAGTTCTTTGGCTAAATTTCCAATCAAAGTTACATATGAAGGACTTCTGGTCCCTACAATTTTTTCGCCACTTTCTGTTACTTCACGCATTAGTTTTTTATTCTAGATTGCGGATCTAGTAATAGGAGTCGATTTTCGTCCATCTCTTCCCCTTGTTAAAGGGGGGTTAGCGATAGCTTAGATATACAGTCTTCGTTGATGGTCTTCCATAAAATTTTGACATTTTATTACAATTTTGAAGTGTCACAGTTCTAAAGATGTCAAAACCCACTAAATTTTACAGCAATTTTTTTTTAAAAAAAAAATTATAGGTGCCATCTCTCAAATTATGACACCTCAATATTGTAGTGATATATTAAAAATTTATTGAAGATTAAACGGCCGATTTGGCACCAAAGATATGAATTCAAGAGGTGGGGAAAATGCAATTACCGTACTATGTCCCAAGGGTAATTATGGGACCAAAACTGTCTTGAAAGTTTATGATTAGTATTAGGATGGCTATGTATTTTATAGATGTTAAGGGATAAATTCCATATTGAACAAAGATTAAAATATAACTCAATATATAAGGAATTAAACTACTCCTCATAATAATATTGATCTTTTAAGATAGAACTCTAAATCTTAATATGGTACCAGAGCCTATTAAACACCAACAAGTATTTCTATTCGATTAAAACTAAAAAAAAATGAGTATACAATCAAGATTGGTTTGCGGGCATGTTAAGAGATAAATTTCACATCAAATAAAAATATAATACAATAATTTGAGTTACTTCTCTTAATAAAATTGATCTTTTAAAATTGAACGACACGTCTTAAGAATAATTCTAACATAAATTTCCACGAAAGAAAATAAATCTTTAATTAATAAATTAGGATTTCTATGGGACATTCACCATGGTGATTATAACAAAAAAACAAACATAAATTTACCATTATACTAAATCAATAATTGATTTCTTGATTGAATCTGATTTGCAAACTTCTAATTTTCAATTCACGAACATTAATCTTTTAATTCACAATTTAGACACTCCCAACCTTCAAGCCTTCTATATTATTCTTGAAATATCAAAACTCTAACAATGTTCTTAAAGATGGAAATAGTATAAAAAACGCGTGGAATAAAGGAAACAACAATTTCTCAATAAAAATGCGTAGAATATACAAAGAAAAAATACATAACTACAATACTTTTAAATATACAACTTCACATTTAACAAACTTACAAAAGGATTTCGAAAATCAGATGATGATGATGATGATGATGATGATGATGATGATGATGATGATGATGATGATGATGATGATAATAATAATAATAATTGAATCACTCTCTACACAAATATCCCAATCGACCACACTCCCAATCTGGCGGATCTCTATTTATACTCTTCCAATCAACCACACCCAACCAACCCCTCTGTCACTCTAGTTTATCCTTCAAACTAATTATGTTGGCATTGAGAATCTTCATTGTAGGGAGTCAAATGACAGAGCTCTCATCAGCAAGAGGTATTTATGGCGAAGATTTGTTTTTATGGTAAAGATTAAGGTACACTTAGATTTTGTGAGCCATGATTTTTTTGCCCCTGCTAGCTAGATTATTTTTCTTTTCTATGTAGCCTGCAATATAACCATCAATTTTGTGTGATGGATACTTGTTTTTAGATTCTGCAACATTGAGATAGTTCACAATTTTTGGCAGTTGGGAAATGACCTTCGAGGGCAAGCAAAAGTCTCCGAGGATCACAAATGATTAATGAGTGCCTCTAAATTGACTGAGTAGACATGGTCAAAGGGCGAAAGGAGGAACGACCTCGATTTCTCAAAGGGTCCAACTGAATTGAGGCCAAGAGATAATTATGGATTTCAAGAAGATAACAAATTTGAAAACTTTAATTTCAATACGTGAAATTTGGATGCCAAAATGCCTGAAAACATAGCTAAGAGCCCCATCAAAAATGGTATTTACAACATGAATGTTGTGTATCAAAATCCTAATTCCAGTTTGGGAAATATAAGCAAATATAACACTAACAACTCCAACAAGGAGCCTATCGAGAGCAGCAGTAACAATAGCAATAACAAGGAATAGAGTTTGGTATCGAGTCGTTGTAATTTTGGACAATTTGGTATTTTCGGATAAGAGGTATTTACACACTTTTACTCCCTGGCTAATGTCCAACAAAGGGATTTTTGGACGAATTGGTATTTTTCATTTCTTAAAATATGGATGTTGGTATAGAGTTTACATTCTACCTCTCGTTATTTGGTGCAAAAGATACAGAAATAGAGTTTGGTATCTATTCTTTTAGGCATCAATGAGAGTGATTTTAGTTATCTTGTGCACCAGTGATTTATAATCTGATCATTAAAAATTTTTCAGATGATAAATCATTTAATTTGATGCATTCTTATTTTGAACATGTTTTTGTTTTTCACAGTTCATAATTCCTGAAGAGGTTTCTGTATTTCATAAAATATTAGCATGATTGTGACCTATTGATTGTGTGCTTTATGTTGTATGTGACCAAGTTATGTTTAAAAGTGATTATTTATGACTAGATATGTGTAAACTATTATTGTTTGTGATCATGTCTGTGTAAATTATTATTGTTTGTGATCAGCATGTGTTAACCTACTATAATCAAGTCTATCTTTAATATGATTTTTTGTGAGCGGTTAAATGTAACTATCTCTGACCAACCATGTGTTAACAGTTATGTATAACTAGACATTTGTTAATATTGAAAGTTTATGACAAAACCTATTTAAATTTAAAAATTTGTGACCATTTATGTGTTAAAGGTGACCCACTGTGATCAAGTCTGTGTTGACAATGACCAATTGTGACTAGTAATATGTTGAATGTCACCTATTAATTGGTCAAAAAGAAACAAATCGTAGGTCACATTTTCAAATTTGGTTACAATTTAGTCAGGATCACGTGTTTTAGGTCAAAGGTTAATTGGTCACAAATTTATCAAATTATTTGGTTATGACTTATTTTTAGGCACAATTTATCAAATTAATTGATCACGACTTATTTCACGATCACAATTTATCAAATTAATTAATCACAGTTTATCAAATTAATCGATCACAGGTCATTTTTCGATCTCAATTTATCAAATTAATTAATCATTTGATCTCAAATCATAAATTTTATAGGTCACAACACTACAACAAAACTATGATTCAGCGATAAGATATTTTGCGACATACAAAAAGTTGTCGCAAAAAGTGACTTAACGCGACACATTTTAAAGTTTGTAGCGAAGATTGTGATGAAAAAAATATGTACCAAAAACTATAAGACGGCATAAAAAGTTGTTGTGAAATGTGAGATGTTGTGACAAATAATAAAGATTGTCGTCAAAAATATGAGGGAAGCAAGGCACCAAAATATTTTTGGTGGGAAATTTATGGCGACAAATTTTTTTTTCTTGCAAAAAAATGCTTGTGATGCAATAGGGTCTTCTTTTAGCGATAAAAATATTTGTTGCTAAAAATTCTATAGTTGAAGGAAAAAAAGACTAAAAGATAATAACTTTTTTTTTTACAACAGACAAAAAATATTGCAGTAGATTTTTTACAATGTTTTCCCATATATGTAGACTCTAATATTGTTGTAGAGTTGAAGGATATTGCAACGTGCAATACAAGCCAAAAAAGACCTCAAATGTAAATTGTTATAAAGTTTTTACGATGTAACTCATTCATTGATTTTATTTTATTTTGTAACATTTTTTGCTTGCTGTCTTAATTTTTTTCTAACGTTATTTTTTTCTTTAATTTTTGTAATAAGTGTTTGTTTTTATCGTTCGACTAAATTTTAATGTATAATACAAATTTTTAAATTTTTAATTATTTTTTATGAAAAGAAATTTTTTTTATAATAAAAGCTGTATAAAATTTATAAAAAAATTTATTGCCTAAAAAATTAAGAAAAATGCATTAGATGATTAAACCTTCAATCACATAATAACTTACAAAAATAGAAATACTAGGTCAAACCAATCCATAAAGAAAAATAGTTTTCTCAACAATTAAAGCAAATAAATAAAGAAATTATAATTCACATATAATTAGTAGGCGGTGGCATGCTAAACATTGTTGCTGGCTTAGCTTATTGTGGAGACATGCTGACTTGACACGATACGAACTTATGCATTAGTGCCTCAAATTGAGAAATCTTGGCACGCATATCCAACAATTCTTGCTCTTGCTTTTGTATTTTGCTCTCAAAGGGCTAATGATTCAGTATCAACCGATGTCAAATAAGCAGAGTAGCTTGAGATAGGTTTTGGACCATGTCCAAGTCCTCTAATGTAACCTCTAGATTTTCCTAAAACTTCTTGCATAGTCTCAAGGTCAGTGGTGACCTCAGATCCCTCTGGATTAGGTTGCTCTTTAATTTGAAGCATCATCTCCTATATATAAGTAAAGAAAAAGAAGAGAGAATACATGTAAATAACAGAATATATATATAAAATGTCAATAACAATGAATAAATTATTAATATACTTACATATCTTGTTCGTGCTTCATCGTATACCCACCCTTTCTTCTCACTGTAATGAGTCTCATAATAAATTTCTATTTCTCCTTGTGCATTGTCTTTGGTAATTGATCTCTGTTTGAAATAATATATATCAAGTTACAAAAATATATTTGTCTTCATAAACACAAAAGAAAGTATTACCTTTCCTTGAAGACATGCAACAAATGATTTTGATCCACCACAATGATTATATTTAATGCAGTTGTGGCTTGCTAGATTACGTGTAGTTAGTACCTGTAATTAATTTATATGTAAATATAATTAACTCATTATAATTTATTTTTTAATTATATTAATTATTTTAAGATAACATCTAAATTATATTAT